CAGGAATGCTCCTAATTAAGCCTTAAGCGCAATGACAAAATGCGTCTGTGCTTTATATGTCAAAAGCTCCATTACACTTCTAAACTTCTGCATGCATAACTACTTTTAACATGAGTACCTTCCTCATTTTGCAATATGGACTTCAGATTAAAATCCAAGGTGTGTAACCTTACTCCTATTGCCCACCTCAGTTCAATACTCAGAAAAATTAGGAAAGCCAGACTGATACAAAACCACTAGCAGTAAAGCAAAACAAGCCCTATGCACTAATACCAGAAAATTATTTTGGGATTTTTTTTTTTTGTTGTTACATCTAACACTGAGAGCAGGGTAGTCTATATGGATAAGCATATAGCAAAGCAAGTTGAAGGCGATTTTGTAAGCCTTTTCTAAACCAGCATTTATGCTGTCTTTCCTTGGTGCTTGGTTGGAGCCCACATTCGGTAGATGAAGAAGAGTACAATCAGGTAGTACATGGTGCTCTTCAGAAGAAGGACGATGTACACTAAATATGCTGTCCTGTGCATTAAGTGATCTGTAACAAACATAAGACAGAAAAGTCTTGTTTAATGTCAATATGGTACAACCTCCTAAAAGACGGGTAGAACTGGGACTGTGTGGTCTGTTTACTGCTGCAATTGCATTGATTCCAGTGGACAGTGTGAAAACACATGCAACGTCTGAGTGTCCTTTGAGTGGGTTTGCACTGCTACTAAGTTCTAGACCTAGTGTATTTCTTAGCACTAGACTGCCTCTCAATGCCGCTGGGTTATTATTCTCTGCAAAGGCAAGAACATAATTCTAGTGCTTCCAGAGCTGAATACTGGTAGCACCGTGTTTGCCTGAATCCTTTTGTGTTGGATTTTTTGAACATAAGTGCTCACGATTCTTCCAAATTTCTTTGTCCGAAGTGCTGGGCAATTGCAAGGCTGGTGGAGCATCAGCTGAAGTGTTGAGCATTTAACTACTTCAGGTATTTAAAAAAGTGGCACTTAACGCAGGCTAATAGTCTAGCAGCCTGAACAGCATCTGTAGCATCCTAATAAAGCTCCTAATAAAGCTACCTAATAAAGGTAGGAGAGCTCCTTCTTATAATCCACACCAGAAGTTAATTCAGAGTAGCACTGAAGCATTTTTAAGTTACAGACCCCAGACCTAAAAGATTTCCTGTACACTATTTAGAAAGATCATTTTCATGACGTTCTGAGTGTATGTAGCAATATCTAACTCTTGCATGACATGCATCGCTTTCCCACATTTTAATACATTTTAATTACCTCTATTAAAAACTGTGCTGTTTCCACGATTTGCGCTGCAGTCCTCTTCCGGAGGAGCAGTCTTTGTATAATCTAATGGAAAGAGAATTTAAATGCCCCAATTAGGCTTTTCTTTAATTTTAACAAACATGAATTGAGAAATAAGGAGAAAAAGAGACAGTACAGCAACAGTGAAATGGGAAGTTAGTATTAAACAACAACAAAAAAAGATGTTTACGATCTGTCTGCAGAGCAGATGTTCACAAGTAGGATTTGTTTGCAGAGAGAATTTGAAGGGGGGAAATGAAGTGATGGGGTATTTGTTGCCATCAGTGGGAGGTTTGCCTTTGCCCTTTCAGGAATGTGTCCATTAGGCTGTTCCTTGGCAGAGTCTCTTTTATTTGGAGCTGCAGTCAGTTTGACCACCTTGTCACTGAAGTAGCTGGAGTCTGCCTTCACAACCTACTGTTACTAGAAATGCAAAGTAATTTACATCGGAAGGGACCTGAATTAGCCTGTTACTTAATGGTTGCTCAACATTAAAGAATAATCTTGAGGAAAGTATGATCTCAGGTTCCCCTATTAGGAATTTGCTATTTTGGTGGTGGTGGTTCTCTAAAATAAATCTTTTTTGTGCTTGAAGCAGCAAATTTGTGTTTGTTCTTGGTTATGGTGTTTGTATGCATTGATATGTGGGCTTAAAGACATCAGTATTACATCCCTAAATACATCTTCCATCTAAATAAGCTTAAAGCATATTTTTATTTTGAAGCTTGAAATGTAATGGTTATTTATGGCCATGCTCTTACTCACTGAAGTTACGTTAATTTATAGTAAGTTGAACAGAGGTAGGTACTGAGAAAAGATTAATCTAAACCAATCTTTTCTTAAATATTACTATGATTTAAAAAATTTGCATTAATTATAGGTTACTCTCTTCTTTAAAATTGCATTGTCTTTCAGATTTTGCTTTGCATAATCAATGTTTCCACAATTAAATGAGATGTATTTTCATACATGATTATTACCTTTGCTCTACATCCCCAGCAACCTCATTTTTAACGCCTTAGTTTTTTATAGCTGTGACTAATGTCAGGGGGTGTCAGAGGACTTACACCTGTAATCAGGGTAACAGAGAGGTACTACTGTTTCCAGAAACTTCTGTAGACTGGAAAGTAACTGACACGGCTCAGTGCAGACCTTTTGGAGCTATGCTAGTTTACACCTGATGAGGTTCAAGAACTGCTCTTTTCAGAGAAAAATGCTTAACAGAAAGCATTATTTCTATAATTTTATTGCAAAGGAAAAGTGATGTCTATAATAATACGTAGAATGAAATTTTTAACATGTAGTATGTACCTTGTGTCGGCAGTGAATGCTGTTGGCTTTCATGCTCATATTTGCAGTTATAGTTCTTGTCTTTGTTCTCCACTGGCACAGTTAACCAGCTGCTGACTGAGTATCTATCGTCGTTCTTGGGACTCCAAGTGTCTCCTTTTACTACGTTGTCTGTTACCTCCTTACTTTCTTCATCGGTCCATGTCACCCGAATAACATCTGGGTAGAATTTCTCAATAAGGCAAACATACGTTATCATATTTTCATGTTCCTTCTGCAGGATTTCAGAGCTTGCCGGTGGAATATGTCCTTTGTCTGGATTGGTTGTCGGAGGAAAAAATTAACAAAATGGAGAGTTGGAAGATCAATAGTGAGCGACAACCTAAATGTCTTATTAACAAATGTTTTAGCTCTCTAATTTGTTATGAAATACTTAGGATGGGAATAGAAATGTCTCATGTATGAAAGGAATTTCAGGGAATAGGATGGATGAATTACAGCTGTTTCCTTCCTTGAAGTAAAAATAAGTTTTTGGCAAGCTGGACGAACCTGGCATTCAAAGACACTTTATATTAAATATTATTTCAATAGGCCCAAATGGCAAGTTTTAATTTTCAGTCAAAAACAGTTACAATACTATTTAGAATAATTTGGAATAGAAAATATGACTTTTAACCTTGTTTTTAAATGTGTTATTTCATAGAGAACTAAAATGAATAGAGGCTTTTATGAGTATGGTACAGAAAATCAAGGTCAAAATCAGCAGACAAGACTCAATTCAAATATTCTAAACTTATTTTCTTTAGACAATATGGAGTCTTCCAGAGTCCAGAGAATGTTTGACCTAAGCTTTGATACTGTGCCATGTGCATGGAGAAACATGATTTAAGTCTTAAATTGTTTAGTGAACTCTAACATCTAGACTGCTTCATTCATGCTTCTTGTCAAGCAGCACATCTGATAGAGGAAGACTAGAGTAGACTAGGTCTCCTCTTTAATACTCTAATACTAGAGTAGATGAAAAAGTATCTCACAATAGATTTCTTGAGTATTTTATTAGAAAAATAAATTCAAGTCTGGTTATTTAAAACCTTAGAAACCTACTAAAAATGTTTGAAAAATTATTTTTGAGAAACGTTAAGAAACTAAAATGTTGTTGAAGATATTAATAATCTCTGAAACTGAGTTAGAAAACTCCAGGCGACCACGTGAGAGCCTATATCCCACAGCCTTCTGAGCAGTACTGCTGTCAGAAAGTGTATTTGTCTGCACAAGTCTTTGACAATTATTAAATAATAGCAATAGTTCCTGAAAGAGCTTTGCTCATTTATTTGATAAGAGGAATTTAATATTGCTTTATAATGTTTATGCAAAAACAACTACATGAAAATTTTGTCTACAGAATGTTAAAGGTAGACCACCTACCTTTCAAATATTTGCAGTTTTATGTCCCCAGTATAAGTCCCCACTACTAATTAACGAACATCTGCTCTATCTAATTAATTTTCTAAAAGCTGGTATTAATTTTGTGATTTGGGGGGGGAGGGAAAAGACAACAAAAATTTATTGTTGCTTTTTTTTTTTTTAAAGATATTTTATATATTTGCCAGGTGAAGATCTTGATAAAGAGGAAAATGGAATCACAAAATGCTCTGGACCCCAAAGGTTGGCAATGCTGTTCCTTTAATACTGGATTTGTTTAAATGTTTGAATTAACACATCTGAAAAGGAAAAACCAAAACTAAACTAAAGCAGAAGAACATGCTATATCTAGAGAACATTTCTATATCCAAATAGCATATCTGTCCATGCCAGGGTTGTCGTAGGTGATGGGCTTTGTGAAATGTGCCCAGTATGAACATACGTGAATATATTTTAAATGAAAAGTGAGCTGTTTCCACAAGCTAACTGTAGGTAATCTCCATTACATTTGCCTCTCTGGATTAAACCTTATGTTATTAAAGGAGTCCAAATCATCCAGATTTTGTCCACACAGAGAAGGTGTCTTGATATTATAAAAGTGGATAGTAAATTTAAGAGTCTGTTTTAGTTAAATGTGAGCTTCTGCAGGGCATGCATAGGCAGTGCTCATGGGCAATCGTTTCTGTCTATGCTTAACTGCAAGTGAAGACTAGATACAGTTTTCAAAATTGACTTTTGTTATGTAGAAGGTACTGCTGAAGACTATTTTTTAAGGCAGCAGACAGATTTTAGGTGTTCATCTCCTTACACCACTCTTTCTCTTTAGATTACTATGTAAATCTCCACCACTGAATTTGAGCAGCTAGATGCACAGGGTTTAAAGTGTGGTCTGACTGAGTAGTGCAGTTTTCATGCATTGTGAGAAAACACATTAATATAAATATGTATTTCTGTCAAAAAGCTTCCACCTTTCTTTAAACGATCTGGCTATTCTAGAGCAATCTTCTACATTGCATCCCCCCCTAAAACAACTCAGTAATTCTTTGAAGTATTTCATACTCAGTGTTTAAAAACAAAGATGAAGGCTGTCTGCCTTCAAAAATATAACCCTTATATTATGAATTTCCTTCATTTTGGAGATTTGTCATTGAAATGAAGATGTGAACTGAGTTCTGTTGTACCAGAAATAAAACTGGTAACAATTTTATGGTTCTCTAACATTAATTTAGGGGCTAATTTTATCTTTTTTTTATGTATCAGTCCTCCCAGGGATGCAAGATTAAACAAATTTCTAAAAGTATTTATTTGTTCCAGAGTTGTGTATGTTCAGAAGACATGATGTAGCTCCTATCCCAGTGATATTGCATTCTGCAAAGCCTCATGACTATTTTAGATGTTTCTTTTAGATTTTCAAAGCTTAGTAAGTTACCCTGACTAATCTCAGTAGGCTAAAATTTAATTGTCTAATTTGATGTTATTCTCTTGGATTATCAAAATCTAAACAGAGAGGCAGAGAGAGATGCTTCCAGCTACTAGTTCATCCTGCCCATTTTAGAGACTTTTATTAAGACAGAATCATTTCCACCTCTGGAATTGCCAGTGTCTTTCCACTTACCATAAAAAGACCCTAGGTGCTTAGCTTAAATGAAACACCTAAATCATACCACAATACTGAGGAAACATATTGCTTGAATAACTGCAACTGCGTGCATGCATGGGAGAGTCTCATGTACACACATAAGTAAATGGATGACAGTGGAGAGCTGAACAAATTAAATTTTGCATATATACATATACTATAAGTTTGCGTGTGAGGAAAAAAAAAATTTATATGTCCATAAGCTGTAGGCATGTTTATGGAAAAAAGGATGAAAACTTGTAGAATGTATTTTCAGGCTGATCAGTCATTGAAGTCAACAAGACAGTTTACACTGGCTTTTCTGGGCAAATGATCTGATCCTTTCTGAGGAATTTTTAAGTCATGAACTTCCACTCCACTGTCTCTTTTTGTTTTAGTTAAACTTTCAAAAATTTTGCTGTTTATTTTGTTAAAGAGTTTTCTAAGGCAGGTTTTAAGAGGTACATAGGTCTTACTTTTTAAAATAATACATAAGCATGTGCAGATATTTCTTATGCTAAAATCTGTCTTTTCTCTCTTATGATAATGCAGTGAGCCTGAAAAACATTGTGCAAATAAAATTCTGGAGTTAAGCTCATAATCAATGAGCTATTCATGAATTTGGCTTCAAAATAAATGTGTTTATAGATGAACAGTCAAAAGTTTTCTTAATGAAACTCCTCTACAGTTTCTTCATAAGTATCTATAAATAAAGTTTATAAATAAGGTCAATGTGTTCTTAAGCTGAAATTTTAATGCTCATTACTTGGATGATCCCACAAAATGGAGTAATTTTGTCTGATACTCAAAGCTCCTCAGTTCCCCTTCAAGCCAGTGGGAGCTGAGAGCACTCAGCACACTCAACTCATAAACAGCGTTCTTGTCTTGCTTGCCAGCGACTTCAGGTAATATCATTGATAATAACATAGTATAGTCCCAACCTACTGTGAGCCTCCCCAGATACCTTAAAAAGCTGTCAGCCTTCACTCCAAAGCTTTCCCATTACAAAACTTAAAAAAATGTCTTTGAAAACACTGGAGATGATGAGGTTTTTTTGCCAAAACCAAATATCTTGTCAAACTCCCACTGGTACATTCCCTTACAGAAACTGCTTGGGATGTTTTGGCTGTACAAGGACCAGATTTAACAACCATCATATGAACAATAAAAGTCTATTCATTTGGCTATGTGAATGTAGAAAATTTGAATTCAATCTCAGCTAATGCTGCTATTCCCGAAGAGCCTTTAGTGATCTGTACCTTAAATTCAGTTTCAAGCTAATCTTTGCCATCACTTGTTTAAAAAAATATCAAAACAAACCAAAACTGTTGTTGTCTGTGGCATTGACTGAGCTACCATATTTCCTCTAGATTTTTTTCTTGAAAAACTAATTTTTTTCCAGTATGGTGAGTGTTTTTGACCACACGATTTAAAAATACATGCATGCTGTTTAACTGAATTAATGAAAGGCAGTCCTGAGCAGCCACGACTCCTCTCAAGCCTAATGGAAGGGCATTTACTCATTTTGGGCCTAACCCTCTGCATGTTGAGGTTACTGTAATCTGCTTAAATGGATGTGGGATCGGGACTGTTCACCCTCAAATCCTGCCCGTACTTGCCTACGCAGTACTATTGCAGGTAATCAGTACCAAAAGGAAACATCACACGTGCGTCTATGTATGCTGTAGAGAAGCATCAACTTCCATCATTCCCATGCACGTCCTTCCCCAGGGCTTTCTGGCTTCTCCCCAAGGAAAACCATGTGCACCTTACATGTAATCCTGCCAACGCTGAAACCAATGGCAACATTTCCAAAGGTCCAGGATTTCCCCCCACATTTTAATCTTCTGATTATTGTCTGCCTGCAGCTAACCGGTGCTGCAGAGCATTCAAGAGAGCTCAGTTCCTCTTGGCTGGAATAAATCAGCTTTGTTAGGACAAATCCATGGGGGAAGACCTTCCCCTTGACCAGAGAGATGCAGAGCTTCAGCCATGGTTTAGGGGGTCTGTTGACACTCACAGTGTTTTCCTGTATAGCACCTCTATTCCCCCTGCTCTGAAGCCAAGGGGTGATCTGTAGCTACGTTTCTGAGTTACCCTGAGCCTGCCGCTCTGGGCATTAAGCTTTGTGCAAGGGAATGACCTGATGTAGCCCTAAGTATCCGAAAGAAGTTATATTTCAGCAAATTATGGTTTATGTGAAGTCCTATAGTTTACCTTGACCTCTCTTATACAAGCATTTGGGTGCCGAAGAAATGAATTCTGCTACTGCAAAGTCCACATCACTTTTCTGTATTATACTTTTAAATCTCTATTTTAATCTGTATTATAATTCTAAAATAGTGTATCACATTCCCTCTCCTCTATATTTTGGATTATCAGAATAAGCCATATTTTCTTAGATCCTACAAAACTTACCAGAAACAATGAGCTTTGTGCCAGTTCCGAAGACTTTGTAATATTCACTGTATACACGTGCTTTGCAAAAACCCACCTTGTCTCAATGTTTTTAAAACCTCATTTTGTGTCCCAGCCTAGCCTCATTTTCTTATTAGAAATGCACCTGTTTCTTTTGACACTCTGATTTCTATAATTAAAACTTTCCTTACAAAATGGTGTATGGATGAACCTGTGGTTGCCCCTACAACAGATTTCACTTGTGTTACTCTTTCAGGTTTAAATAAATAAGCTTGCATGTACACAAAACCTAAGGATTTGCAATACTGACAAAATGGAGGATGGAGCCCTAATTTAACAGTGGGCATCCAAAATCATGGAAATATTTAGGCAGATCCTGCACACCTGAGATTTGTAATTTTCTAGACTGAGACTGCTTCAGCATCCCCTGAGGTTTCTATGGAGAACATGAGGAACAGTAAAGGTTATCACCTTGACAACATGGAAATAAGGCATCTATATATATATGCATGTACATCTGTGTATGAATATATATCCTACAACAAGAACCTAGCTCTGCATGCTATCACCAGTTCAAGCTGATCTTTTGGGGCCATGGCTTTAGGATAACAGAGACCATTATGAACAGGGGAATGTTCACACTGAAATCTGTTTGTGAACATTGCCTTAAAAGAATCGGGTACTGAATTCATCTTCATGCCTATGAAATCCTTGATATTTTAAAGCCATTAGCAAATGTTCCTATTAATATTAATCATGTTAAGAGGCTTTCACTCTGCAGATTTCTTTTGAGTGGCCACATCTTCCCTTGTTTGTGTCTTATATCTCCATGCTTCTGCCCTAACACTCATTTGGACTTTCAGGTCTACTGGGTTTTGATTCAGGGCTTCATGTTTTTCCCTGTTAAAAAAAAAAAAACATGAATGCAAACTACTGCATGCATTAATCTTCACCATTTTGATTTAAAAGGGCAGAAAGTCAGTTTAACCCAACTTCAGGTAATGTGTAAATAAATTTAAGTATAATCTATCTTTAGGCAACGTGTATGTTATAATATATAATTACAGAAAATAATTGTAGCTTTTTGAACTTTGAACTTCAATGCATTTGATGAAATCAAGTTAGATACGTCAGTAATATTTAGGAGGTAGCATTTAAAGAAATTAAATATTGCTGCCATAATTTCTGCTATGAAATTATTTCCTAGAAATGTTAGCAGATTGTTCTTCTTGTCACTTTGAAATAAGTTATCAGTATGCTTGTGAGTTGCCAGCTGCAGTTGTAGCAGAAGAGATGGCAGAGGGAAACCAGGCCCACGCTGGCTGAGCAAGCCACTCTGCTTCTGTGCTGAAGGAAAAAAACTGGATTTGGAGAGGCTGGTTCAGTCTTCGGTTCAGTCTCGGCTTCCCTGTTGTGACCTTGTGAGTGCCTAAATTCCCAGCAAAGATACTTACAGAAGAATCCCATATTGCCATCTTACGTTGGATTAGTATTCCCATTCTGCTGTAAGCTTCTAAAACCTCATCTATTCCAGCAAATGCAAATGCCAAACCAGTCTCTCAAATCCCAGCCCTTCTGTTACCTGCATTATTGTAAGTCTTGAGCAACTTTCCTTTGGTCAGAACTAATTAGAAGAGACCAACAAGGACAAAAGCAAGTTCGTTACAAGTTGATGGCAGTTTGGCTCTTTATATATTTGACTCTCTCACTCTAGATGTGGGGAAAGATTCTGCTCAAGCTCAAACCCTGATAATTCAATTGAATTAAGGTCACTTATCCTCAGTCCTGGTTTTCTCCATTTCTTATCATTAGATGTAACTTACTGAGCTAATGTTGGATAGTCACCCCTGAAAAGACAAGCTGTGATGAAAGGCCTGATCTTAAGCATGAGGTAACTACAGCCCTTTTGCTCTATTAATCGGTCAGAAGCCTTGGCCACATAAAGACAAAATCCTACAGAATTAGAGTGATGCTTGAAAATCATTTACTTTAAACTGTAGATACTAAAAGCATGGCAACTACCTGATTAACACAGTAAGGATTTTAACTAAAAACAACATGCTTATTCTGACAAGGGTATTTCTATTGAATTGTAGTTATGATTTACTTAGTCTTTCTGACATAAATCATCAAAAACAATCTTTGCTTGATATGCTAACATAAATTTAAGTATTTAACCAGGCTTAAGACATTTGGTATCAATAGTTCCTCTGCCTTGTGTTTGTGTAGTTGTTTACTCCAGGATTATGGTGTCTAAAGCACATTAATGAGAAAATGAAGATTTTTGTCCTCCACCTTCCATTAAAATAAATGTCTCCGCAGGAAAGGCAAAAAAATGGATCACTTCTTCATATGCATGTTATTAAGCAATAAGAAGAGCATTTGGAGGTACTAATTTATTTCTACTGCCAAAGTGCTGTGTACAAGTCAAAATTACTTATGGACAAGTTATTTCACTTTTACTAGGCTAATTAAAAAAAGGATTTTGGCAATGGCCATTGCATATTGCTCTTTGTATCGGGAAGAGGTTTTCTTTTTTTTATGCTTAATTCAAAGCTGATTGATTCCCTGCTTATTCCTTCAGTACAGCTGGAGGAAAGAACGAGGGCTCTGGAAACTACTACCGGCCATTTTCCACCACATTTCCAAAATAGCTCCTTTTCAGAAATGGTTTTGATCCTAAAGCACTGCATTACAAATACAACAAGGGTCACTGTAACAATGACAGGCTGGGGAGGGGAATCCTGCACAAGAACGGTGCCAACTGAGGCTTTAAGTGGGCTGAGTGCCCTCTGGGACACTGTAACACTCATCTATATGACCATCCCAAGCTCCTATAGCTTATTGTATGGAAAATAGCATGTAACTTACCTGACACAATGAGTTTTGTACCAGAGCCAAACACCTTGTTGTAATAACCAGTCACAGTGAATAAAGTCTTTACAATAACAGTGCAGCTCTGTTATCTTTGTATGGGTAAATAGTATTCTTTAGAGAAAATCAGATTTGCTGTATAATCGATTTTTAGACCCTAGAAAAGTAAAAAAGGAGCAGTCGCCTAAACTAAACTAAACTAAACTAAACTAAAAAAAAAAAAAAGTATGGAGTTTTTTGAGGGCATGTATGTTGTTAAATGGACAAGATTAATCTCAACTAATTTTAGTCTTCTGAAAGTTTAGGTGGACGGTGAAGACTGAGCACCTTGGGTCTGTCTCTGCTTTCTGGAGAGAGGCAGCAGCAGCAGAGGATCTGTTTGATCAGATATTGGCCAAGTAATTTCCTTCTTATACATCCCCATAAAATCAGACCTAGAATTGGTGAACATTATGCTGAGATCTGAGCAGCACAAGACCCCTGACCAATATTTTTGTTGTCAGTAACATGAAGCAAAACCCTGCATGGATTGGAATCAAACCTCCACTAACCAGATACATCATTTTCAGATGGTCAAAATTAGGCAAACTGTTTTCATCTCAGGTGCTTAGCTGAGCTGAATCACAGGCAAGTATCAAAGCACCTGAAGTATTCAAAACATTTTAAGTTTGGCATTCTTCCTTAAATAATAGTAATAACTGATAATAAGCCCTTTCTGCAAAAGCTAGGAAGAGAGAGCAGCCTTTCAATTATGTGTATCTTCAGACAGTTCTGGGCATATCTCAGCTAACTCCTTTCATTTGGTATGGTCAGATGTAGTCCTAAAGGAAAATGTTTTGCTTTTCCAAGAGTTTGAGTAACCCAAAGGTTTGACACTTTTCTTTCAGAGTGATTTAGAAATATCAGAAAGGTTCAATATGCATATTTAAAGACAAAAACATCTTTCAGTTCTCCTAATGCTATCTTTGCCATATTTAAATTCATCTTTAAAAAGAAAATAATAATGGGGTTAGTTATACATCTGTGCTGCGATAGCTGTTATGTTTCCCCCATTTCATACATAAATACAAACAACTACATTGTGTTCTGCATAAGGAAATGCTGTTTAAGAGGAAAATCCTGCAAAGCATTCAGTAGGGAGCTAAAATAGCAGAGCACTTCACGCAGGCAGTATCTATCTGTATTGAAAACCATTTCAGAACTAGTTACGTTTTACATATTGTACTTACTTGAAACAATAAGCTTAGTTCCACTTCCAAATATTTTGACATCAGCATCCCACAGTCTGATAATGCTTAGCAATATCTCCTGCACTGCACTTTTCTTGCATAGGCTACAGAAAAAGTCTCTCTATTTAGAGGCTGGTGATAAATCTGGTGCAATAGCTGAATTTTCAACACTGACTAGAGTGACATTTTTAGAAATACTTTGATTTTTGTAGTGAGTAAAAAGTTCAGGTTTTTAAACCCAGCATTTTCTGAGAAGAAAGCAGTGCCATGCTTATTTTATAACTGTATTCTAATCATTTTAGCTCTGGAATTTTTCTAACAAAGATCTGTTGCCTCTGGTCTGATAGGTTTTCTCTGAAGTAACCTCTTTTTGCTGTTTTAAGAAGAAATGCAGTTACATTATGATTCCGAAAGGAAATTAAGAAAGTTCGCTAGTTATTTGTTGATTTAAATATACAGGTAAACAATTTTTTTTTTCTAAGTGTCCTATCTTGCAAATTAGTGTGTGAAAGTACCTCAAGTAAAGTTTCATCAAACTCATATTTTGAAGCCCATATTTTAAATGCAAAGTCCATCTTCTAAACAAAACTTACTGATGCCCATAACTAAGTTCATGTCTTTGATAAGTAAACACTTATTGCTGTTGTCTTTTTGGCAAAAGCAGCCGCCTTTACCCAGGCACAGTTTCATTGCAAATTGCAGCAGAGAACATTTTTGGTCAGAGGCATGGATAATATTTTAAATTTCTCAGTAACTCTCCTCTGCTTTTTAGGATTTGACTGAATTTTAGTCACCTTGATAATATCATGTATTTTCTGAGCAACACACTGTAGGCATTGCTATATGCTCTACACTGAAAACAGCATTCATCCTATTGATTGCATAGCTTCACCACAATTAAGAGCGATACAAATGCAAAAGTAAACCAGTTACTTTCAGTAGGGCCAGAAACTAGAAATTTATTACATTCCAGACAATTTTCCTTCCCAATCAACTTAGACTGAACCACCTCTATCAATAAGAAACTTTTTGCATTTCTCACGTGCTGTTCTGAGAGTAAACTTTCAAGCAGTTCACTTGTCTTTCCCAGAACAGGAATGAATCCATCCCAATTTTAAATTTTTACCTCTCCTCATTTTTCCATTCCACCATCCTTAATAAGCATTCAGTAACTGTTCGAGAGGCGATCTCTCTATTCACAAGGTCATTATATTTATTGCCCGTCAACCCACCCAACTGGGGCACCACCCACAGCTCACAGACAAAACATGATTTATCAGGAAAAAACTAATTTTCTTACAGTCTTTCATTCTTAATTATCTGAGAACCTGAATGACTCTGTGACAATCAGATCAATAATAATGGTACTTACTAGAGACAATTAGCTTGGTTCCTGTGCCAAAGTATTTGATCCAGGTGCTACACACTATGTTATGACTTTGCAATAAGCTACCGTGCTGTCTTGCTATGCGATTGCTGAAGAAAATCCCAATTTTTTCCCAATCAGCCCTGGGAGACTGAGTGAAGGCCTGGCACTTGGCTACTGGGGGGATATCAGGAACTTCAGACTTGCACCTGGTTGTTCAGCTCATATCTAATGCCCTTCAGAGCAAATCTCTTTCCTGAAGTGTCGCAAATTTGTTAGATAACTCCTCCGCCTGACACCTAAGAATTAGGTGAAGGTTTCTCCTCAATTTTAAACACACAAATAGGTGCACAGGGTTGTGCATGTTAAAAAACACATACCTTGAGGTGACAATCCAGATCTTTCCCAAAGGGGTACACCCCCTCTCACCTGCAATTAAGTGACATCAAATACCACTAGCAAGGAGTTCATTTTTAGTTGTTTTAATACAATTCAACAGAGGCACCAGGGGAAGTGAGTTGGGATCTTTCAAGTTGTTTGTGGTTGAGACACTGAGGGAGTATTTGTCTCGGTGATCTCTGAGTTCCTGCCACGGTGACTATCCCAGTAGGGGTAGGCGCAGTAGTAGGTAGCAGTGTCGTCTGGAGTTATATCGTTTATTGTGAGAGTACACAGTTTCTGGCTAGAATCCTTTTCAATCCTATACCTGTTTGCTCGGAAGCCGTCATCTACTGATATTGACCCTGAGAAGTAGAGCATCCTCACCGGAGCTTTATTCACCTTCTGTTGATACCAGTGTATGGCAGTGCTATCAAAATTTACAGAGACGTCTTTAAAGTGACATCGCAGGCGAACACTTCCTTTAGGCTTGGTGACTGAGAGAGGGCTCTGCATGGGAACATTTTGTGCAAATCCACCTAGGGAAAAAAAGCAGAGAAATGCTGTCATTAGCTGGAATTCCGGGATTGGGGAAGACGCCTGTTAGCACAGGCATGGGTGCCTGTGAGGAAATGTAGGAAAAGAAGGA